CCCCATTCTGGCACCAAAAAAATAAAAGTAAAAAAGCAATGTTCTCATATAACTGAAAGAGATGATCATACTTCTCAGGATAGTTGGAATATACACAGAGAAGTCATACGAAGAGAAAGAGGGGGAAAAAGAAGAGAAAGAGGGAAAGAACTAGTGGAGAAAATTAGTTGATACTAATTATGATTACTAAAGGAAAACAAAAGATGGATTCTATGTAATATATTTAACAGGTTTGTGGAATGCTAAAGAAAAACATCAATTGTGAAGGGATAGGAAAATTGCAATAAGATTACAGGTAACGACCTTTAAAAAGTTTGAAATACGCATATAATTGAAATTAAGCAAATAAATAAGAAAAACAGCAACAGGTTTGCTTTTCCTTAGACAAATTCAGTACATTTTCACTGATGATGGAGTATTGCTGCACAATGAAGAAGAGAGTGGACCAAATTAAGACTATCAACAAAGGAAGTGGCACCATGGCTCAAGTGGTAGAGTGATTGCCTTGAGCTGAATTGCTGAGAGACAGCGCTCAGGCCCAGAGTTCAAGCCCCACGACCGACCAAAATTTAAAAAAAAAAGACTATCAACAAAAAAAGAAAAATGCAAACACCATTTCTAAAAACAGAGACAGGGCTATTATATTAGTTTCCTATTACTGTAACAAGATACCTATGATAATCAACTTACAAAAAGGAAAGGTTTATTTTGGTTCATGGTTTCAGTCAACAAAGATGATGGTCCAGTTGCCTCTTCCCATGTGGTAAGGGAGTCTATCAGGACCATGTATACCAATATGCAGATTCATAGTGTGTCCCTAATACCTAACTTCACCCTATTGGGCCCTACTTCTTAAATATTCACTACCTTCCAACAAGACAATGGACGGGGCCCAAGACATTGACACATGGACTTGGGGATATATACCAGATCCACCGAATAGCAATTGTTCATTATAGTTGATTCTACATACTGTATAAGCTTTATGACAGAAATGTCTCTAATTCTCACTATTCAGCCTTCCCTTTCTACAAAGCATTATTTAAAACTTAAAGCTTCCATACATCTTCCTGCATTTGCTACATCTTGATTCAAGGATTTCATTTAAGCAATCTGTTCTGTTTGAGTACCTCTAAGCTATTATTAATGTTAAATCATTTGATATTTTCTCTCACACAGCATTTATAGTTACGTACCTGCTGGTTTGAACATCACCCTGATAGAGAAGACTTGGAGAAGAGTATGGTCAATCTTGTCTTTATGCTACTTGTATGAGGCACAAATCTATCACACATATACATCATTAGAGGTTCAGAGAATGAAGCAAGACACCTATTGCTTTGTTTCTCAGACAGAAGCAATGAACTTGATCTCAGAAAGCTTGCAATCCATCTTGGGAATCAGGCTGTACATCTAAAGTAAACCATGCGCTGTATCATACGATGGGTGCAAATAAGAACTACACAAGAAATAATCTCCAAAGACCAGGATTTAAAGAAGGAATAAAATTGATGAGAGGAAGAAAGTAGGAATTTAAGTAAGGGAAAAAAGAGTAAGTAATCAGCAATAAGTTGGAACTGGAGGTTCAAGGGGTAGAGCTGCAGTTGTCAAAAAAAAATTCAGGCTAGAGTGAAAGTGTAGAGTTCAGGCCCTAATATTCACACACACACACACACACACACACACACACACACACACACACACACACTCAAGTTAAGAATTAATTCTCTAAACCTGTGCTGTTCAATATAATAACTAGTTATACCTGTCCATTACACATCTGAAATGAGTCTGGCCCAAATTGAAATTTGTTGTATGCTCAAAATATCTATCAGTTTTGGAAGATTTAGGAGGAAAAAAGGAATGTAAAATACATCATTGGTAATTTTAAATTGACTATATTTTAAATAGTATACTGGATCTGTTGAGTTAAATTAAAATATTTAACATCATGTGTAGCTTAAAGTAGTGCCTTATGTTATATTCCTATTAGATAGTTTTGCTTGCGAAAATGAAACAGAAAAATAATTGAGAAAGGATTTATGTACTAATTATTTCATGAGGTTTATCCTAATACAATAGGGTTAGATAACAAGACAACTGATCTGTTTGCCCATAGGTTGATTACAATAAAAGAAGAAAAGGAAGAAATGAGACCTATAAATTAAAAAGGTATTTAGAGCACAGAACAAGCAATCTCCTAATTCAAGAAAACTAACCATAGCAAAATATATTTCTGAAAAAAAATGAGTAAAGGGGGGTGGAGGGAGGATGGGATGGGATAGGAAGGGGAAATAAAGGAGGAGGCTACAATGCTTGATAAGAAATGTACTCATTATCTTGCCCATGTAATTGTAACCCCTCTGTACAGTATTTTCACAATAAAAAATAACTAAAAAATGAGTAAATGTAAACAAGGTCTAGATACCAGATGACATAAATGATATAATTTTGAGTGAATAATAACAATATGGAGATTAAAAAGTTAGTATGCTTTAGGGATGAAAACCATAAGTATGGAGAAAGTATGACATAGCAAAGTATTTGGGATTTAATGGGGAAAGTATTTAAAAAACCCAAACAAGTAAGTAGAATATAAGAGAGATGATGTAATCACCTAATGAGATAATATATCAAAGAAATTTCACTCTAAAACTGCATCACTTGAGTATATCTCTCTACAAAAATCAACCAAGCAGGGGAAAGGAGATTGGTTGAAGCCTGGAAAAGTTCAAGAGAGACTTATCCAGATTATGTTTCATAGGAATGGATTCAAAACAACACTTAATATTGTTGCTTTAGGTACTTTGGTAGGACCATTCAGAAGGTATTGGATAGCCAGGACTAAAACTAGTTGTGGTTATTATTAGAATAAAACTCTGTGTGTCTTCTTTAAATATGACAAAATCCTGTGTATACCCTAACCTATATTTTCATTTTTAGATTTTAAACTTACCTGCACCATTCAATTATACTGGGATTTTATTTATCCTGCTTAAATTTATCTTTGGTCTTGTCAAACTGATATTGGAGAAAAGAGGATTTTAAAAAGAAAGAAAAATCAAAAGCAGTAGCAACAATAAAAAAAAAACATGATTTTTTTTTTTTGGGTCCAGTCGTGGGGCCTGAACTCTGGGCCTGGGCACTGTCCCTCAGCTCTTCAGCTCAAGGCTAGCGCTCTACCACTTGAGCCACAGCACCACTTCCATTTTTTTCTTTTTGCTTATGTGGTGCTGGGGAATCGAACCCAGGGCCTCAGGCATGCAAGGCAAGTGCTCTACCACTGGGCCACCTTCCCAGCCCTGATGTTTTTTTTTTAACCCTCAGATATAAGGCATGCAAGAGAGATCAATGTAATGCAGCACAGAGCAAAGATAATAAAAAGAAAAGAGGAAAGGGAAAAAGTGAGGTGGAAGATAGAAAAACTAACAGGAATAAAACCCCAAGTGCTTATTTTAGAGTTCCCTCTGACTAATTTGAATAGATAACAACAGTTTATTTTGCTTTTTCTGTGCACCTGAAACTATCACATAATTATCCCAGGATTAGGTAGGGTGGTTAAGTATCCAGATTTTTTTTTTGCTAGTAATTAGCTCTTTGGTCTTTACTGTTGCTTTGTTTTCTCATCTACAAAGTGGGAAAATAACATCATTGTTACTAGCCTCACTGGGCTTTTACAGAAGTAAAGGCAATTTGAGATAGCAAATGTGAAAGGGTTTTGCACTTTTTTGGGTTAGTACTGGTAATTAAACCCAGGCCTTGTAGATGTTAAACAAGTACTCTACTAGGCCCAATTCAGAACTTAAAAAAAAAAATAAGCCATGGGGCAAGGAATGTGGCTTAGTGCTAGAGTGTTTTTGCCTAGCATGCATGAGACCCTGGGTTCGATTCCTTTGTACCACATAAACACTAAAACTAAATAAAATTACATAAAAAAGTTGGCCACGGTGCCATAGTCTGAAAGAAATAATTAGGTAAACACATTATCAGATCTCCTCATCCTTCTTGTAACCAACCTGTCTCCCACCTTTCAGTGCAAACCCAAAGGAACAAAGGTAAGGTAGTGAGAAGAAACCTGCCCCATTTGTTAGGAAATGGAAACACCTGGAAAAAATTATAAGCGAAGTAAGCCAGGCCCAAAGAAACATAAGGCCCATGGTTTCCCTTATTTGCAATAACTAGTATATGTCTGAGACAAGCGGAAATGGTCAGATAAGTTGATGTTAAGCGAAATGAACCCCAAGATAAGGACTCAAATGGTTTTTCTTTCTTGCTATTGTTTCTAACACATTTAAAAGATGAATTCTTTGTTGCTTTGTATGTCCCTCCCCCACGGCATAACCCCTTCTTTCACTGTATTTGATGTTGGTATAATTTGTGGAGGGGAAGGGAAAAAACAAATCGTTTAAATAGGGATACTAGTGGATCCATTGCAACAATGAGATGTACAAGTCGTTATGTCGAAAATCAACTTTACAACTTTGGTGGGGGGGGGTAGGAGGGTTGGGTGGGAGGATGGGGGGAGGATGGGAAGGGATGGGAAGGGGAAACAAAGGAGGAGGCTACAATGCTTGATAAGAAATGTACTCATTATCTTGCCCATGTAATTGTAACCCCTCTGTACGGTATTTTCATAATAAAAAACTTAATAATAATAATAATAATAAAGAAGCCTGAAGAAGGTGAAGAGAACTAGGGTCGGGGTAGGGTGCTCGTAGACAAGGAGGACAGAAATGATCGTCATTGAGGTGGGACAGAGGAGAATTAAAGCGAATTGAGCAGATTGAGGGAAAGCTGTGTTTGCTCCCCTCCCCAACCTCAGGCACTTACTGCCACCGGTAGTCTCCCCGCAAGCGGTGACTGGTTACCATGGCGACCGAGTCGTGGCAGGAGGGGGGCGGGGAAGGAGGAGGAAGAGCCCTTTCGATTGGTGGTGGCCCGTCAACTGCTGCTTGGAGTGGAGACGTGGTGACGTCATAGAAGCGATTTCCGGCGGAAGGAGAAGCCGGTTCCTAGTTCTGGTCGGCGGCCGACAGACAAGTGGCAACTCCCTGGCGATGTCAAGTTTGGTAAGTCGGATCAAGTGTGAAACCTGGGAAAGGTACCCGCATATGACTGGGCTGGTAAGAGCTGACTGAATTACCCGGGTCCCAGCTCCTCATCTTGGGGGAGCTCCCGCTGGGAAAAGGTGGCCTCCTTTCTGGGACTCCCAGCCCGACGTCGTCTGTCCTCGCGTGGACAGTTTCGGGGTCGCTCTTGGCCATGTCTTGGCGTCTGTCCAGTCTCTAGGAGGGGACGCTTGCCCATGTGGATGCTTTCCTGTTTTTTGCTTCTTTTTTTTCTCTTGTAAATATTAAGCTCCTCTGATGTGTTGAGTGAGAGCTTCTCTGCCGGGTTTTACCATAAGAAAAGCAGAAAAAAAATCTATTCTTATATGTTCACCCACCACGCAGGCCTTTCGTAAAGTTCTAGTTTTCATGCTATTGTATGTTCATGAAGAGGGAAAGTATATATCATGAAATATCTAATAGTTAAGGTTTTGCATACTTGTTTCGTTGTATCTAAAATATCTAGAGCATTTAAAGATGAAAATAGGTGTTTTATTCATGATTGCTGTATGATTGTGATTTACTCATGCAAATTTTAAAGAACGTAGAAAAAAAGTGTTTTTGGTGTTTTTTATTTTTACATACTTGCAGACTGTAATAGGTTGTCATTTTAATGTTTCTGTTCAGCTGATCTGGAAAGATCATTTCTTGTTCAAGTAATGATGGCGTTTAAGCAGACACCGAAAAAGGATTGGTACAGTATTCTGGGAGCAGACCCATCTGCAGATGTGGCTGACCTAAAACAAAAATATCAAAAACTTGTATTAATGGTAAGTTTTTTCTTTCTGATTTTACATCATGGGTGTGTGTGTGTGTGTGTGTGTGTGTGTGTAGATCAATTGTAAATGTGACCATAAAACCGTTTATATATGTGTGTGTGTGATATCAATAAGAGTAAAAGTATTTGGTGTATTGAAAGATTCAATAATATAACTAAAAATAAAAATTAAAAAAAATTGATTTTAGGATAGTGCAGTAGTTAGGAAGAGGAGATCTGATCCTGGCTGACTGAATTAGAATCCTCGGACTCTCACTCCCTGTGAGAACTTAAACTAATTTCCTGTATATATGGCTCAGGGAAGATTAAAAGACTTAATCAGAAAACATAATCTGTGTAGATGCGTACAAAAGTGGCCACAAAATAGTGTATTCAGTAGCCACTAGATATGTGGCTGTTGAGCCCTTGAGTTTTGGCTAGTCTAAATTGTAATTTGTCTTAAGTATATAATACACATTGGATTTTGAGAATTAAATGAATGTAAAAAAATCTAGAAAACTTTTTATATTGGTTATATGTTGAACATATACATATTTCAGCAGACGTTATCAAAAGTCATTTTACCCGCATCTTGTTTTGTATGTAAGAGCTGTTTATTTTAGTACATTGCATTCTTGCCCTCAACACTGGGCCTGATATTCCTGACTCTAGACCTTCTAGACCCCAAATCTACAGTTTTCTCCTCTGGTAGGAGAGAGTGGATGGCTGATTTATGTGAGGAGAAGACTTGTCCTTCTAACTAGTTTTTGTTTGTTTTGGGTGTTTTTTTTTTTGTAAGTCTCAACTTTAGTCCTTAATTCTCAAAGGTATTTAATATGTTCAGTTCCTCAGTTTCTCTCGCCTCTATGTGAGGCCAGAGAAATCTTTCACTTTAGGCTTTACATTTCAACTTTTCTGAGTAGTTCTGAGTTGGATACTGTATTAGTCAGCTTTCCATTACTGTAATGAGTGTCTGAGATAACTCATAAAGAAAGGTTTATTCTGGTGTATGGTTTCAGAGGTTCCAGTCTATGGTAGATTGGCCCCATTACATTTCCCCACCAAAATCAAATACAGTGACAACAGGGGATATACTATAAGGGGAAGAAACATACAAAAGAAACAAAAAAAATCACATAGTACATGAAAAACAACAAAAACAAAGAGAAACCTCTTGTGTCCATATCTTGGGGTTCATTTCGTTTAGCATCATCTTATATGCTTCCTGCAGAAAGAATGACACTAGCCCATGTATTAGGAAATGGAAAGACTTGGAAAAAATCATATTAAGTGAAGTAATCCAGATCCAAAGAAATAAAGGTCCCATGATTTCCCTTATGTACAATAATTAGCATATGTCTAGGCTAACCTTATCAGATGAGCAGAAAAGGTCAAAAGGTATGTACATATGACCATACAAGTTTCTAAAAGACTTAAGAAAGATTTGTCACATTTATAAGAAGTTTTGTTTGTTTGTTTGTTTGTTTTTAATATGGGTTGTGTGGCTTGGACTCTGGGTCTGGGCGCTGTCCCTATGCTCTTCAGCTCAAGGCTAGTGCTCTACCACTTGAGCCACAGTACCACTTCAGTTTTCTTGTGGTTAATTGGAGATAAAGAGTCTCATGGACTTTCTTGCCTGGGCTGACTTTGGACCAAGATCCTCAGATTCAGCCTCCTGAGTAGCTAGGATTACAAGCCTGAGCCACTGGTGCTCAGCAATTTATAAGAAGTTTTTAAAAAATTAAGCCAGGCTTCTGAAGCTCTTATTTTGTTTCCCACATATTTTTGTGATGTGTGTTTTTCAACAAGGTCAGAAAACACTTGGGGAGTAAAATTTCATTTGACTAATACCATTCTGTATCTTATTTTATAAAAAGGCACATTTATTACATGTATATTTCTAGATTCAGAAGTCTTTGAATTTAACAACTCCTACATAATTGCTAAATTGTAGGTTGCTGAGTTTATAATACATGTTGATTTAGTAAATCCTATTTCTTTATTTCAGTTTTTGTAAGTATAGTGTATATTTAATGTTCTGGTTCTGAAAAATTCTATCAATTCATTGAAATATTTTTAAATGCCTTAAAAATATGTTAATCTAAGGCACAGAATTAGCTTTAAAGATACTCATTTCATATATCATTAAGTCTACTGCCAGATAATTTACTATATAAAAATAAAAGCATTTCCTCATAGTGTATGAGACTTATTGTAAGAGTACACTGCTTTCTTTTCTCCTTGTAAATTAATCTGTAAAAAATTTCTTGTTTTCTATTAATAACAATTTGAAGTACAAACCTTTGCTTTAAATTGGTCCAGGGTCCAGAATGATTAGCTATATTATTTCACATTTTTTGTAGTTATCATCTGTTTACTGAAGATAAAGTTTTGTCAGATTGAAAATTGGAGGTCTTTTCCCATTGATGCTGATAACATTGCAAGATATCTTTCATCTGGAAAAGAATTATTGTATTGGAAAAGTACAGGCTGCTATTATAATATGTCCCATAATCTTTAAGAAAATCCTTGTAATTTGAGGCAGGAGTGTGTAAGATGTTCTTATTCTTAATATTGGATGAGTATAAAATCCCATTTATTATATAGATTATATATATATATAGATAGATAGATAGATTAGCATTAAGTCTTAAACGTATTAGCATTAATCATTAAGCTTGAAAAACAAGATAGAGCATCTCAGCTACACTCAGAGGAAAATTACCACATCAGAAAAGGAAGAAACTAAAAAAAAAAAAGAAGAAAAGGAAGAAACAAAAGGAGCTAAGAACAGTTCTTTGAACAGGACTTCTCACTACAAAGCAAAATCATCTCAATTATTAAGAAAGGAATTAATTAAAAAGAATTTTGTGAGGAAAAAAAAGTCTGAGAATGTTATAAATAAAAATCAGAGCTGAGCACTGGTGGCTCATGCCTGTAATCCTACTGAGGAGCTGAGATCTGAGGATCATGGTCCAAAGCCAGCCCGGGCAGGAAAGTCTGTAAGACTCTCCAATAAACCACTAGAAAACCAGAAGTAGTGCTGTGGCTCAAGCAGCACTGGCCTTGAGTTGAAGAGCTGAGGGATAGCACCTAAGCCCAGAGTTCAAGCCCCACAACTGACAAGAAAAAAAAAATCAGAAGTTCATCCAGGCAATGTGGGCTCATGCCTGAAATCTTAGCTACTCAGGAGGCTGAGATGTGAGATCACCGTTCAGAGCTAGCCTGGGAAAGTTTGTAAGACTCTTAACTCCAATAAACCACCAGAAAACTGGAAGTGGTGGTGTGACCCAAGGGGTACAGCGTTTATATTGAGCTGAACAGCTGAGGAACAGCGCCCAGGCCCAGAGTTCAAGCCCCACAACCAACACTCCCCACCCCCCAAAAATGAGAAGTTCTACTCTTCTGAATTTACCTGTATTGAACATTGTAATTTTTGTTGGCATAGCTCACTGGTCAGCTGTCATTCAGGTGTCATACAGGATGCAAGAAAATTAACAAATTACTTAGGTGTAAACTATTATAAGACTTAGAACAGATGCAAAAGGGGCTTAGAAGGACTTAGAAAAAGAAATCAAGATGGCTGGCACCTCATTCACAACCAGAACAGTCTTGTTAGGACACCATTGCTCTTCTCTCTACTGCCATTTTTTCTCTAATAAATGGTTTTTTCCTGCTGGTTAAAAGTAAAATTCAATTGCACAAGAAGGCACACTTGGCTATGTTGGGGTAATCTGAAGCCTTATTAATAGTGTAATACAGACAAATTGAGAAAGGTAGTTCCTCAACAATATGTGAGGAAACTGAACTGCTAACAGAAAAGGATGCTAGATGTTAGGGTTCATTTCATGTTGTTGAAAACTTTTAAGTCAACTGATATTCTGTAGTAGGAAGAAACAAGAAAAAAGAATATCTCCATTATAGCCATTAAACCAAGGAGTAATGCTTTATACCCTGTTGTCACTGTTTTTGATTTTGGCATACTGTGTCTTGTATATATGTTTATCTGATTTGGGAAAGGGAAGGGGAATAACAAAATGGTGAGACAAAAGACAAAAGGAAATGAACTTTACAATTGGGGGGGTATGATTGTGGAGGAGGGAAAATGGGAGAGAAAAACAAAGGGAGGTAACAATGTTCGACAAGAAATGCACTCATTATCTTATGTATGTAACTGTAACCCCTCTGTATATCACCTTTACAATACAATTTCAAAAACTGAAATAGCCAGAAATAATGGGCATCTAATCAGGAGAAAATTGAGTCACTTAAAGCCGAAATGACCATGTAACCAATAAACCATTGTAAATATTCTTGAGGAGTCAAGAAAGCTGTTGAATGATTTATAAAAAAAAGATTCAATTGTATCTAGGAACAAAAATCATTGACAACCCTGGAAAGCTATGTAGCACTGAATAGCAGTTGAAATTTGAATTTTTGGCCTATCTTATTAGAGGACAACTCAAACACACAATTCTGAGACTCTGTGATTTTGTTAATAGCCTCGGTTAAGTGTTTAAAAAATGGAAAACAATTGTGTTAATTAGCCCCATTGACTAAAGGACTGTGTAGTCTGACCCAGCAAATTATTTGTAGAAATAAATGAAAATGCCACCCAAAAACCTGGTATGAAAGGTGGCCTTGTAAAACCTGATTTATTATTACCAAACTTTATTACTAATGATATTCACTACTCCTTATTCCTGACAAATGTAAAAATATATTCTTTAAAAAATTTATCTTTCCTTGCCTTCCTCATTTTTACCAAAAATTGTCCTGGACTAATTAAGAAATGCCTTAATGCACACAATTCAGGATTCCTATGATCCATTTCTCAGTTTAACCTAATTTGCTACAGTGGCTTATAGAACTCAAAGAAACTATATTTACTATATTTAGTACAATGGATGTTTTAAGGAATACATGTCAATAGCTAGATGAATAGAGTTGTAAAGGGTGAATTCTGAAAAGGCCTCAAATATAGGAGCTTACATTCCCATATAGCACATGGAT